AATGTTTACCCTTCTTGCAACGAGGACATAGTCCTGGCTGTCGAACAATTGAGGATGACCCTTTTTTGTCCTGTAACTGACATGTTCGGGACAATCACGCTTAAAATGTCCCTCCTGGCCACATCTAAAGCACTTTCCTGTATGAGGGGGTGGTTTTCGGGTTAGCTGGAGAACGGCAGCAGCCAAACCTGCATTAGTAAGGGGTCCACCTATTTCCCTACAGACTTTCATTTATGCCTCTATTCCTTTATTTTTATATGGGGTTATAGCCGCTTTGCATTCCTTAGTACATTGTTCAAAAACAAGTTGTTTGATCAAAGGCAGAGCTCTATCAGGGTCCCCGAATATTTTCCCCGCTGCATCTACCATCCGAGCCATAAAGTCAGAAAAAGGCTCTGTGGGGCCTTGAATGATCTTAGTTAGATTACCAGATATTTCCCCTCTGTTAGGCAAGGACTTCCAGGCTCCGATGTAGATGTTGTTGATTTGCTCATATACTTCTGGTGGGTACCCTGTTTGTTGATTGGCAAATCTACCTTGTCCCAAAAGCATGTCCTTATCCCAGGCAGGGCGTTCCGCCGCATGGTTTTGGGCCGCCTGCTCTATTGCCCCCTCTAACATAAATGCTCTCCAATCCAGATACTTTCCTGGAGAAACACAGGCGCGCACCAGGTTCGCCCAATCAGACGGAGTCATACAAAAGCGAGAAAGACCCTCCACCTGGGTAAGTGTAAATGCAGCATCCACACCATAGGTTCGGACTGATTCAGCCAATGTCTTGACAATTTTAAAGTCAAGGGGTTCATGATATCGCCCCCGATTGGCATCTTGAAACACAGGGAATGTAAGACCCATGTCCGAATGAACCTTTCTCCATGTTTGTGCATGAAACGTCCTATTGAGTCCTGGGTTAGGATAGGGTGGAGGGTCAGGAGGAATCTCCAAAACATTTTCCCCCTCTTCCTCATATCCCACATCTGTCTTTGGGTATTTATGTTCTGTGTAGACAGCCTTACGGGGATCACTTCGCCCCTTAGTTTCACCTTTTCCCCTTTTGTCTCTAGCTTGCCGTGACAGCAATTCCAATACTTCCTCATTGTTTGAACTACTGTCTTCCTCAAAGGTTTTCAATTCAGTCAAATCTGGATAAAGTCTAGTCTTTGGCTGACTTGAACGTTTATCATCTCTATCATTTCCCCCACTCTTAATACTTTCAGCTCCCTTGGACCTCTCCTCATGCAATTGTTCAAGAACCTCCTGTCCTTTGGTTAGGGCATCCTGACATCTACTGTCAGATAAACAACCCCTTACTAACTTCCATAAAGGAATCACCCCACCTTTGAGGGTCTCTTGTTCGTGTGCAAAATCTAAATCCTTGCCTAGTTTTTCCCAACTGGGGGTCGTGAGACTGCCCGAGTAAGCAAACCACGGGGCCGCTAGATCTACTTGTTTTAAGAACATTTGCAAAGTACTTTGTTTAACTTTTAAACCTTTAGATCGTAGCAGTCCATCCAGGGCTAACAGAATAGGGCTAGAAGCAGAGGCGCCCATGGCGTTAATGCAGAAAGCGAAAGCAAAGAAATAAAGCGAAAGTCCAAAAAATCCCTGCTCTCTCTTCTTACAGAGGAGCGACCCGCTAATTTTTTCGCGGATTCCCACTTACCTGGGAACTTACCGGTGCACCACCCTGACCGCTAAAAGTTCTGGATCCTGGGATTGAGAGGTATTCGGTTCCCCGTCCGGGCCACCAATTGTCGTGACCCCCTCGCCAGCAAGGAAGACACGACACAGGATTCTTCTTTCAGCGGTTTATTCAGGCCTTAACTCTAATCTTCTCTCAAGCGCTCTTCCCCCCGTGCACCCACACACAGCCTAATAAAGCTTACTCAAGTCCAATCCAAAGCTGCTATGCGGTGTTTTCTCATAGGGTATTGAGGGACAGCGCGCCAACTCTCCCAAATAAGGAGTTGTTTACCAAGATCCACAACGGAGACCGGCGCCATCTTCTAATGGCGGCAACGGTCTGCAGACACGGCTCACCACATAAATGTTCTTTTCTATTGTCATTTTTTTTTTTAAAAATAAAGTTCTTATTTCAGTTGTAAAAAAGAAAATAAAATAAGGTTGCATTTGCCTGTGATGGCTACTGTGGTGCCCTTGGCCAGCTTATGATGCTAATGTTTACACCTGTATCTCTGAGGACACTTTCCTAGCACTGCCTATTATCCTCTGAAGCCCCAAAGTCTATTACATTAGAGATTCATTACTAATGGGTAGATAAGGCCACTAAGGACACTTTTGTTTACCTCTCTTAATTGAAAATTGAAGCTTTTATTATGAAGTCAATTTTGGCAGATTAGAAATATCTACCTCTTCCCAGAAAGGTCAGAACCACAGTCAGAGGGAGAGGGAGAATGAAAGGGAGGGGAAGAGATAGAGGGAGGGAGGGATAGGGAATACCTCCTAGGCTTTTAAATTATTGTTATCTTTATAGAAACAGAGAGTAAAGAAAATACTCCTTTGGCTCAAGAAGAGACAGGATTTGTGTCAAGAAGTCCTCATGTTGTGTAGGTGGTAGAAGACTTAGTGAAAACTTCTTTGCACATCTCCCTGTGAAAGGATATGTTCGTAAGAATGAGTGGCCAGAGCCCACCCTCCTACCTCCACTGAGATATTACTGGGTGACTTTTTCCATCCATTACTACTTTGGAGTTCAGTTAACACATGAAGCCATGACAAATAAAAAAGTAAGTACCTTCAGCATTTTTTATTTTCCTATTTTAAATTATAGAATGTTGCTTTCTTCTGAGAAAAGTATCAATAACAAAATAAATAATGTAATTTTGTTATTTTGATATTTTATGAATGAATTTAATATCATTTATGAAGTAAGCCTTTTAATAGAAGTGGCAAATATATGATAGTCTCTGATGCCATGTTTCCATGTATCAATAAAACAAAGGTGGTCTAACGTTACTAGAATTCTGGGAGAACACCATTCAGCAGCATCTACCACAATCTCATCCTTTAGTTCATCAAAAGCTGTGTATAAAATATGTAAGTTCTACCTCCATCCACTGACTTCTTATTTGCTGATGTGTTGTCATTTGGTGACTCTACCTTCTAATAGCCTTCTAAAATCTAAACTTAAGTTTTAAATCTCTGCATCTTAATGACAATTTTATGACAGTGTTCTCAAGTACATGAATTATTAATGACTTAAAGAAAACTGATGTTTTTGAATGAAAAGATACAATCGTAGGTAGAGAGACTGAACGGTGTGCCTGGAGTGAGCTGGGGTGAGGGGAACAGTGGCAAGGCACCTGGCTGCAGGTGCAGCCCATTTCTCTACCATGTGCTGCATTTGGCCTTTGTGATCCTTGCCATGGTGTCAAGGTGGGGGTCTAACTTTGAGGCAAGTTGTAATCTCTTCTTATGGTTTTGTTTTCTAAATCCCCTTTAGACTAACCTATGGAACTAGGAACAAAGTAAATGATATCTACCTTCATTACACTTAGTAGAAAGGAAATGTTTTAAAACAACCAGTGAAACTCTTTGTCACATCCCATCAAGATTACAAGGTAAATGTTTTTAACTCTGTGATATTAAAAAATGACAAGCTGTCCAGGTAAATGTTAAAGAGAGGAAATATTTAAGCAACTGTTATAATCAGTTTTTTTTTTAAAAAAACAAGACCAGATATAGGATATGTATTGACCCAGAAAAGAATTATAAATCTTTGATTTCTTGCACTCTAAGACAAAATACTGCTGAGGCTGGACATTAGTAGTGTTATATTTCATTGTTGTGAAAGAGCTCTCCAGAATATTTTTATCCTGCAAAACTAAAATACTATATTTATTAAATAAGAACCCTTGCTCCTTTTTACTTCCCCTGGGACCTGGTAGTTACCATTTTGCTTTCCTCTTTATGTATATTTTAAAAATGTTTAAGAACATATGCATAAATGGAAAGATTAAAGGAAAAAAAATCAGTATATGTGTTAGTTCAGGAAAGAAGGAATAAGATAGTGGTAACTAAGAAATAAAGAAGCAAATTTTGAGGCTCTCACTATTTTTCCATATTTGACCCAAGTAGTAGTTACACAGTAATTTTCTTAATAAGTTTATTTTAAATGGACATATATATCTTATCCATTGTCCTAGAATATAAGATCACTAATACTCTTTAAAGATACACAAAAAGTTAATACCAGAGTTAACTGCACATAGATTTCTTCTTTTTTATTAATTATTATTTTAATTATTCAAATATATGGGGTACAGAGTGATAATTTGATACATGTAACTGTAAGGCATATAGATGTGTACTTAAGTTGATGACAATAATTCTATGGCTATAAACACTGTTTTCAAGAGTGAAATGCTTTAGAAAGGACAAGAAAAAGTGTCCTTTCTTTTACATTGATTATCTGAGGTATTTTTTTAGTGATGGAAATCTGACTTACACAAACCTCTTTAATCATAACAATGAAAGATAGCATTCAAACACTGTACACATCACTTCAGACTGTCTGTCAAACTCATTGCTTTCTTTCCCATTAAACAGGAATTTGACAACAGGTTAGTCATTGGATTCAACTTATGAGTAGTTGAAGAACCATTGAAAACAAAAGGACATTACAAAACTCATCAAATTATAACATGAAAGGTCTTTCCTAGTCTTATATCTTAATTCATTTTAGAGGCAAAAAAGAGTGATACTACAGTAATTTAAAAAATGTGTGAGAAAGTGCAAAAGGCAATAAGTATGTGAACTATAACATAGTAAAACCAATACTAAACAGAAACATTCTCTTCATGAGACATACAATGCTTATTAACAGGAATTTTGACAACAGTCATATATCAAGTAAAAGAAGAAAATGACTACTGATGGCAGAATTGGATTTCCCAGCCATCGTCCTTGAGATCTTACATAAACGTTCTCAGTTCAATGTCCTCTGGGTTTGTGACAAAATTGAACAGTGAGAGTCAGTGATGAGAAACCATACATCATTAACTACGTTCATACTTCTGGGACTCACCAATAATCCTCAAATGCAGGTTCTGATTTTTATATTACTGTTTGTCACCTATACATTGAGTATAACTGGGAACCTGATCATCATTATACTCACTTTAGTGGATTCTCATCTTAAAAGTGCCATGTACTTTTTCCTCAAAAACTTCTCCTTCTTAGAAACTTTATTCACCACGGCCTGTATTCCCAGGTTCCTCTATAGCTTATCAACTGGAGACAAGACAATTTCCTATAATGCTTGTGTTGCTCAAGTATTTTTTATCATCTTGTTTGGAGCTACAGAATTTTTCCTTCTGACCATCATGTCCTATGATCGCTATGTAGCCATCTGCAAGCCCTTGCATTATGTGACCATCATGAACAGCAGAGCCCGCAGTTGGCTTGTTATCTGCTGTTGGGTGGCAGGCTTGTTGGTCATACTACCGCCACTGTGCCTGGGCTTAAACCTGGAATTCTGTGACTATAATGTTATTGATCATTTTCTCTGTGATGCTTCTCCACTGCTAAAAATCTCTTGTTCAGATACCTGGTTCATAGAACAGATGACCATTGCCATTGCTGCACTGACCACGTTCATAACACTTCTGTGTATAGTCCTGTCCTATATTTATATCATCAAGACTATTATAAAGTTTCCTTCTGCTCAGCAACGGATGAAGGCCTTTTCTACCTGCTCTTCTCACATGGTGGTGGTTTCTATCACATATGGGAGCTGTATTTTTGTTTATATCAAACCTTCACCAAAAGACCAAGTAGCAATTAATAAGAGTGTTTCAGTGCTTACTACTTCTGTTGCCCCCATGTTAAACCCATTTATTTATACCCTAAGGAACACACAAGTGAAACAAGCTTTTGCAGACTTAATCAAAAGAATTTCAATGATCTCAAAGTAAAAGAATGTTGAATTTAAACATTTAACTTATCATACTAGAGCAGATAGCCTTAAGTATATATTCTCACTTTCTTAATTTTTTTATCTCTTCCTTGTCCCTGGTATAGTATTACTGTCTTACTTATAGCACTACTGCTTCTTGAATTAACAATTAAAATATTCTTTCACTTCTTTTGGCAAATAAAATTCTTTGAGGTTACAGCTGTCCTCAGAGAAAATGGAATCAGACTTCCAGGATCAAGGAGTCTTGAGTATATTCAAACTAGTTTCAGCAAAAACAAAAAAGAAAGTTATATTATTTAATTAACAGAAAAACAAAGGGCAGTAATGACCATTCTTTTTTCCAATTAAAAAACCTTCCTGACAAGAGAAAAATATCATATATGTTAATACTATTCTCAATCAGAAACAAGATAGTTTTAAAAAATAAAGAAAACCAGAATGTCACCATATACCTGAAAATTAACATATACAAGTTAAGGAACCTGAAAATATCTAGCTTGAAAATGGAAACTTTAAACCCCTGTGATTTAGAATTTAGATTCACTGGATTATCTCTAAAATGAAAGATTGGAATCTCTGCACAAATTGATAATCCCATAATAGGTATCCAATAAACTCTACTGAGATATCTTAAAGCCATCTTTAGGATGGCAAACCAGGACCAATTTGAAAAAATGTGCTAATGTCAAATTCCTTAATGTAGCTTAAAAAGCCAATAGGAGGCAGGAAGCTCAGTTAGATGAAATAATAGACAGAAATTCAAAAACTAAAGCAGTAAAATATATGGACTCTTCCCTACCCCTCTTGTATACTCTAGGCCTGTGTTCAGTAGCCCTCATCTGTGTACCTGTTACCTTTGTAGAGTTGACTATGGCCAAATAACAAATAACCTCAAATTAGCACTCTCAAACACAGATTCCTGGGTGAGCTGGATATTTGTGGTGATTTGGGGAGCAATCAACTGATCTCAGCCTGACTTGTTCTCAGGATTTGCAGGATGAATGTCTGGTCTCAATCACAAATACAGAAGTAGGATGGCTCTTTATGGAGACTACTAAGTCTACTCCACGTGGTGTTTTATGTTATAGGCCACACTTGCTCACATGAGAGATCATGTCACTCCAGGGCAGGTCATGTGAGGTCCAATATCCCTCCTACCGCATTGTATTACACAAGCACACTGCACAATCAGACGTGATTCAAGAGAGAAAGTTGACAGAGGGAGGGACAGTCATTATTGCTATTTTTTCAGAGACACTGCACCTTCCTTATCTTTTTAAATGGGATATTTTACAGTTTCCTATTTTGACTTAGTGCTACTTCTCGTTAGTACACACATGGATCCCAGAAAGGAATGGGGTCTAATGTTGCATTTCAAATTAATTTTTAATGAATTATAGCTGGATGAAACTCAAAGATAATATCTTTTGGCTATTCTTAAGTCTTCTTTTAAGAAATGTCTTTCACCCTTTTAAATTGAGTTTTTGGGGGTGTGCTATTAAATTGCTATTGTGATTTCCTTCTATTTTACATTTTGGAGATATATATATATATATATATATATATATATATATATATATATATATGAGTTTACCCTTATGTTTTCTTTCTAGAAATTTTACAATTTCATGTCTTACATTTAAGTTTTTAATAGGTGGTGATGATCAGATGAAAACTATTGGTCAGAACTTCTAAACACAGAGATACTAATAGAACATCACAACAAATAAAATTCAAAATTTGACTGTTGAATAACTGACTCAGGTGACTGATACATTTGGGACTAAACTGATGCTCACTTGCTTTTTTCATATCCAACCCTGCTATGTTTTTAAATGGAGCTATCCTCGATTTATAGTTAAGGATCCTACTGGGTTCTCTTCTGTATTTTACCTCCATCTCTTCATAAACCCAGTGACAGTTGAATTTTAATAGCCACTTTAATTATAAAATCAAAATCTGAGTACCAGCTCCCCATTCATTAGCTTTTAAAAATTTGAAGATTTTGAGCCTTCAGTGATTTAGTTTTGATGGCTAAGTATCTAATAAGTCAAATTCCAAGTATATTCTCAGATAATATAGGAAGTTAAAAGCTAAACACATTCTCAACTTTAGTTGTGGGAAGATTTGACTCTTATAATGTAGGTTCTTTTTTTTTTTCCTAACATGAGACTCATTCTCACTTGACATTACATATTCTCTATGGCTCTGAAAGGATGACTTTTGGTGCTTTATTACTATTTTTTTATGTTTCTGCTTGTGTCAAAGAAATCATTCTTATTTCCAAACACAATGTTCCTGAATTGTAGCATTACAACACACCAAAAAATATATGACTGTATAAGTACATAGTCTTATTTTCCACCAAATACTGCAATAATTTCCAAGTTTACTGCTTGGTAAATTTTGAATAGGGGATGAATTGGTGTTTGAAACCAATTATCGATTTCAAGGTATCAATGATCTATTATTCTCCTCCTCTACAGTTTCTCAACTAAATGATAAATAATCATTGTGCTGAGATAAGAATGAATATATCATTATTGTTAACAAAACTGAACTGTATCAGACAGACCAAATTGAGTACTACATACTAGCCATAAATTAGCAAAACATGATACTCTAGAACAGTACATTAAGCATAATTTATGATTTCCGGAATTAAAGAAGATATTGCATTTTGGAGGGGTTTTGTTTTGTGATGGGGCAACAACAAGCAGGTGGAGTCAACACTAAGTCATGATATGAAGACCAATCTCAACAATTCAGGAAAGTTCTTTCTCCCCAAGAAAGAATTGACAAAGGGATTAGAAAACACTTTCTCCTTTTTTGTACTTTGCACAGGGGAAATTATTCCAGACGCATGAATCTTGTTTGGAAAGCAAAAGCTGAATATGGTGACTCTTCGAACCTTGATTAATATGATGCTTTTTCCTGGCACCCTCTAAATGTTTCCCTAACCCATCGGGTTTAATTAAGGAAAAAAAGAATAACTAATCTTTGAGGGAAAGGATCATATATTTTGTAAGGGCAATCTTCTTTTTTCCCCTTTCCCAAGGAGCAGCCTACCTACTAGGAACCACAAAGTGGTGTGTGTGTGTGTGTGTGTGTATGTTTGCATGTGTGTGTGTTGCTGGGGATGGAATTCAGAGTCTTACACATGCAAAACCACTGTTCTATCATTGAAGTACTCCTTATGTCCAGTAACTACTAACCTTTAATGCCCTGGAATAATTGGTGGACCATTCAGATACTGACCCTTGAAAACTTTGAAATAGTTAAAAATGTCATGTTCAAATAATTCCAAAGTCAGGAAGTCTATCCTGTCTCTATGAGGGATGGGAAATGAGGAGAGCAACTATTCTTGGCTAGACATTATAGGAAAATTCAAAATAATTATTTCATTGTTTCTTTAAGAAATCTTCAAATCACATTGATGGTATAATAACTTCAAAAGAAATTCAGTGGTATAGATATCTATGATCATACACTCATGTATAAGTCTTTATATGCTTATAACTTATTTGTTGCCCCAGGTGATGGTCATTCAACTCTAGTTCAATGGATGGATGTTTCTAACAAATTAGTCTCTATCTTGTCTCTGTTTACTGCCATCAAAGGTCCAAGACATCTTCTAGATATAAATGAAATATTCATTTACATTTACAGAAGGTTTTCCTAAAATTAAGCCGTTAGAAAATAATGCCTACAGAGTAGGAAGACTTGCTGATATTTTAATCAAGGTGCCAAGAAGCAGATTTGATGTAATTCACTGAATAATACCATATTTGGAAATGTTGGGAATGAAAGCCACTATCTTTGATGTTCCTAGCTAAACCATGAGTGGTTTATTCTGAACACATTATTTCCTTTTTTTAACTGATATTTTTAAAAATAAATGACAGTGGAATGTATTATAATTCTTATTACATATATAGAGCATGGGAGGAATAGACGAACTCTAGATAGGGCAGAGGGGTGGGAGGGGAAGGGAGGGGGCAGGGGCTTAGCAATGATGGTGGAATGTGATGGATATCATTACCCAAAGTACATGTACGAAGACATGAATTGGTGTGAGCATACTTTATATATCACCAGAGATATGAAAAAATGTGCTCTATATGTGTAATGAGTATTGTAATGCATTCCCATTATTTCTTATTCTCATATTCTGCTCTGATCATGGGAGGTTGTCTCAGTACCAGGACATCTTCAGGATACTTAATTACATGTCATAACATACTGTTGGGCATCTTGTATAATTGAATCAGCATTATGACACTTCATTTTAAAGTCATTGAGAATTAGATTCACATGGCTCCTTAGAGCTAATCCAAACCTCTTTTCTAATATTTGAATAAGGAGTCTAGGAAAGGGAAAGAAATTTACCATATAACATGTGGATCAGATACAGACTGAAAACCTTGTTAACTCAACTCTGTTCCTTCCCTGTTTCAGATGTGTGATGGGTCTACAAAAACAATAAGGTACTTGTAGACAGAGACCAAAACTACTTATTCATGATTCTTAATTTGTAGGCACATCACTCCAGTCATTGACTCTGTCATCATAAGTCTTTTTTTTGTTTTTAAACTTTATTTTGTTTATTTTTATGTAGTGCTTGAGTATCAAACCCAGTGCCTCACACATGCCAGGATGTGCTCTACCCCTGAAAACAACCCAGGCCTGCTATCATAACCCCAGACCTGCTGTCATAAATCTTTTCACTGGTGTCTCTGCCTACTCTTCCCTCTGAGCATGTGGGTGTCCATGTTTGAATTTCCTTTTCTTATAAGAGCAGTAATCATATTGAATTAGCACACAACCTAATGACTTAATCATAATTTGATTGTATCTAAAAGGCCCTGCCTCAAAATAACATTAGTTTTTGAAGTACTAGAGGTTTGAACTTCACAATGCCATTTTGGATGACATAAGTCAACATCAAAATGATGTCCTCTGGCCTGCCAAAATTTAAGTCCTTTCCATGTACAAAAT